AGAAATTCCTAGACAAGCCACTTGGAACAGCAACTGTGCAGCAGTCCCATCCACCCCACTAGTCCAGGGACAGAATATGAGTGGAAGCAACTTTTCAAAGACCAAGGGGCAAGATTTCTGGCTAGCCTGGGAGTAGGGGTAGAGAGAAAGAAGATGAAGGGTGAAAGAGGGAGACACATCCTAAGACGACCCTCAGTGATTCATACCCTTGTATAACCCAAAGAGCTCTGGTGGTCAGTGGTTTGAACCCATCAGCTGCTCCACCAGAGACAGATGAGGTAGTCTGCTTCTGTAAAGATTTACAGCCTTGGAAACTCTATGCAGCAGTTCTACTCTATCCTATAGAGAGGGTCACTATGAGTTGGAATTCACTTGATGGCAATAGGTTTAGTTTTTTTTTTTTTTTTTTTTTTGGTATATTCCCTTCCTCTTGAGTGTGGGCAGGACCTGTGACTTGTTTCTAACCAATAGAGTGTGGCAAAAATGACAGGAAGAAGTAATTTCTTTGTGTTATGTTAGATAAAACCAAAAAACCAAACTCACTGCTGTCAAGTCCTCTCTGACTCATAGCGACCCCTCCTTGGGTTTCCAAGGCAGTATCACTACGCAAGCAGATTTCCCAACCTTCCTTCTCCCTCTTAAATGACTAGATTCTCCTGCTGGCCTTGAACAAGTAAAGACCATGTTGTGGACTGCACATGGAGAGGCTACATGGCAGAGAACTTCAGGCTACCTTTAGGACTTGAGGGTGGTGTCCACTTGATGACCAGTAAGAAACTAGGGCCCTCAGGCAAACAGCCATAAGAGCTGACTTCTGCCAATGACGAATGAGCTTGGAATTGGATTCTTCCCTAGTCAAGCCTCTAGAGGGAAGTCTTGTGAGACCCCAAGCAGAGGACCTAGGCAAGCCATGCTCAGACTCCTGATACATGGAAAATGTGACAAGAGGCAGTAAGCACTAGGAATCCATGGAAAACAAGGGGGCTTTGACTGTTGCTACCCAATGCATAAAAAACCTTACTGGTGCAGTGGTTAAGCACTTGACTGCAAACCAAAAGGTCGATAGTTTGAGCCCACAAGCCACTCCACAAGAGAAAGATGTGTAAAGACTACAGCCAAAACAAACAACAAACAAACAAAAAACTTAGCAGCTCTACTCTGTCCTATAGAGTTGCTATGAGAGTTGGAATTGACTTGACAAGTTTGGTTGGTTGTGTTTTTTGTTTTTGTTTTTACCCAAGGAATGGTTTTGGATACCAGGTGACCATGAGTTCTGTGGAGGTGGGTGTAACCTGGTTCATGCCTCTGCAGAGGCCACTGTGGTCATAGATGTGCACAACTTAGATAAGGAGGCTGCAGTGCCAGTGTGTATCAGTGCTGAGGAAGCACCCAAGGGTGTCTAAATCTGGGGAGACTTCTCAGAGGAAGTGACAAGTAAACTACTGGTGCTAGTTAAAACCAGGAAGGAATAAAAGTCACCCAAGGGGACTGCCTGCTGAGAGCAGAAGCAGAGCAAAGAGATAACTAAGGCAGAGAGAGAACCAAGAGATGGCCAAAGGACTCACACTTACATGTTTCATGGAGGGTTTCAGGAAACATCTCAGCTGTGCCTTGGAGAAGCCTGGTGCAGCTTTCATAAGTTAGAAAAACAAATATGTGACATCCATCATGTGCCAGGAGCTAGGCTGGGTGCTTTGAGTGCATTATTTTATTTAATTCTCATAATAATCCTGAGAGGAGGTGCTTTTTTTTAAAATTGTGATTTGCGTGAAAGTTTACACTGCAAATTCGTTTTCCATACAGCGGTTCATGCACATTTTGTCTCATGACATTGACTACAATTCCCCACAGTGTAACAGCTCTTTTTCCACTTCCTCCCTATACTTACCTCTTCCCTGTGTCCTTCTTTCCTATGCATCCCTGCCCCCTGAGCTGTCTCCCTGTGAAAGCACTGCCCTGCTGTTCTCCCATGATTGATCATTCTAAGGAGTGTAGCCACCTGATGTATATGTTCACCCTATATGTCTGTCTATTGGTTGGCTGGAAGCCACAGGAGTGAGTTCAATTCCAGACCTGAAGGGTAACCAGGGACCATAGTCTCGGGGGTCTCACCAGGCTGGTGAGTAAACCTGGCCTTTTTTTTTTTTTAATGATTTTGAGTTTTGTTCCACATTGTTCTCCCACTCTATACAAGATCTCCTGCACTGATCCCCCTCTGAGTGGTT